GGAGGGCTCGCCCTCGGGGCGCACGTCGCCCCCCTTCTTCTCCTCCGCGAGCGCCACGCGCTCCGCCGCCTCGCGCGGCGGGCGAATGCGCCAGAGGGTCCGAGGGTGGCAAAGGGGATACCACGGAGAAAGGGCGAGGGCGGATGGAGGGGAGGAGAGAGTTTGGGCAAGGAGGAGGAGGGGGATCAATAACCAAGAGTGGGAGGAGGGGGAGGGCCTGCGCGGCCTTCTCCGCTCGAATGAGCAAGAGCTCCTCGGAGGGGAATAGGAGCCTCCCCTGGCTCAGCCCCAACGCTGCCTCCTGCAGCACCCGCCAGTCCTCGTCGCTCAGGCTTGGCCACCAATTCGAGGCGAGGACGAGGCCCCTCAAGCCCACCCCATCGGGCTCAGCATCGGAGCTATCTGGATTCGCATGCGAGTGAGACGCGCCTGGAGCGGGCTCCAGCTCGGACTTGGGCACGGGGGCAAGGACCACCTGCGCGGGCTCGAGCTCGGACTTGGGCACGGGGGCAGGCACTCGCTCTTGCTCTATCGGCTTCGCCAGCTGCCCCAGGCGGTCCTGCTGGGGCTTCGCCATTCGTTTGCCCGCCACCCGTGGATGGCCGCCCAGTGCTCCTCCCACCCCCGAGGCGACGGCTGGGGGAAGAAGCGGCGATGGGGGCGAGGGGGCATTTGGCTGGGTGCACTGGGGCCCTTTGATCCCTGGGTCCTTCTCGGCTTGGGTCCAGGCAGCAGTAAGCCGCATTTTTTTGTGCAAGTCCAAGAACTCAAGCTGTGCAACACGCCGGGCAATATTCAATTCGCGCCGCTTCTCACGGTAGCTCGGCGTGTCTTTATCATGGTCCCGCTGTCTGAGTTCGGGATCCAGCGAGACCACCCGCGGTTTCATCTTCGCAAGGGGGGGGAGGGGAGGAGGTGGATAAGCAGGAATGGGAGTAGTTGGAGTAGGAACACAATTGGGGCCTCGTCTGCATGCTCGCCGATCTGCATCAGGGCACTCACTAGGCGTTCCTCGTCTGGCCCAGGGGTGCCCTTCGCCGCGGGATGGGGGGAGGGATGGGGGGAGGAGGAGGAGAAGAGATGGAGGGAGGGCGAGAAGCCGACAAGTCGGGCCGACAAGAGGGAGGAGGGAAGGAGACGGGGGGGAAAGGCAAGCGGGAGAAAGGGGCGAGGACTCCTGGAATTACATCCGATCTACTCCGCCACTTCCCCCCCTTCTCCCTACTCTCATTTCTCCCCTGCGCCTGGCGCGGCCCCCGCGCTTCACTCGCCTCCCCGCTGGCACTGCGCAGCCCGCCCCCTTTCACCCTCATGGGGAGAAAGGCCGAGGAGGCCTGCAGGGGGACCACGTACGGCATGTAGTACTTCAGCGGGCGGCCCAGGGTCTCCACGTGGAACTTCTCGTAGATGATCTTGTGGCTCGCCTTGGGCTTCGCCTGCGGGCGGCGGCGACGACTCCGACGACGGCGACGACGAGCGGGGGGCACTGGCACTTCCCGACCCGCCTTCCCAGCCGCCGCAGGACTCTTGGAGCGAGACGCCCGAGACTCTCGGAGACGCACCCGAGGCCCCGCGGAGCCATGCGCAGCTCAGTCATAGAGATGGGAGGGAGGGGTTGAGTCGATTCACGGGGCGAGCAAGCACATATAGCGATGGCGGGGCACGGGTTGGACGCCAGGGAGGAGGACACATGGGCCTTGAAACGAAAGAGCTACTCGTGCCCCTGCGCGCCCTGCCCTACGAGCCCCCACCACTCCCTTACAGTGAACGCGTCACGAAGCCAAGGTGGAGAAGTGCCAAGGCGGGCCAACCTGATGGAGATTGCCACCACGATGATAATCATGATGACTACATGCATTGATGGCCAGCGAGACCAGTATATGCATGTATGTATGTATGTACATATGTATATGTATACATAGTCCGCTGCATGCACGTGAACACACACATATGTAAATCGCACAACAAGAGAGGCCACAATGGAAAGAGGGCCAGGCCGAGCAGCGCGAGCGGGGCATCGGGGGGCACAGGGAGAGAGAGGCAGAGGGCGAGGGAGAGAGTGAGTGAGTGAGTGGTTGAGAGAGAGAGGGATAGAGAGAGAGGGAGAAAGAGAGAGAGAGAGAGGGAGAAAGAGAGAGAGAGAGAGAGAGAGAGAGTGAGAGAGAGAGAGAGAGTGCGCGCCAAGCGAGCGGAGAGCCGCCTTCGGCGCCGCCTTCGCCTTCCCCGATGCCTTCTTCGGCGCCGCCTTAGGCTTGGGCATCGGCGCGATCAGCCAGCCCGGCGAAAAGTCCGAGCGCATCGGGTTCATGTTCGGGGTGCCGTCCACGCATAGCCTCCGCGGGCAGGGCGGAGCAGCGGGGGGGGGGAAGGGCGATAGAGGAGGAGGAGGGGAGGAGGAGGTGAGGAGGAGGCGCGAAGAGCAGGAGGTGCGGCGATGATGAGGAGAAGGAGGAGGAGAAGGAGAAGGATCTCGGAGAAGGAGGTGGGGTGATGACGAGGAGGCGGCGCGGCGGTGAGGAGGAAGGAGGGGGAGGCAAGAGGCAAGGAGGCGCGGAGGAGGCGAGGCGTGGAGGAAGCCTGAGAAGGGGGGTGCGGAGGAGGTGAGGAGTCAGAGGTGAGGTGGAGGTGAGGGGGTGAGGGGGAGGCGAGGAGGAGGAGGAGGAGGAGTGAGGCTCAGCGAGGAGGAGCAGCAAGAAGAGGAGGATGACGAGGAGGAGGAGGAGGTGCGAAAAGCCTCGGCTTTGCCCAGCCTGGCTTCGCCGGCTCTTCGTCGGAGCTGGCGCCGTCCGAGTGGTCGTCGCCGTTCAAGCTCAGGGTGGTCGCTGGACGACGACGACGACGACAACGCCGACGCCGACGACGACGACGAGGATAAGAGGATAAGAGGATAAGGGGAAAACAGACTCCTTTGTTCAAGTACTGCGCCGTCTGCTGGTCTACCACCCTGCCCCACATCGGGATCCTGCAAGTGCCGTCGCCCACCTCCTCAAGGTACCACTTCCTCTTGGAGTCCTGGGCGGCAGCCCCATCCAGCCCGCGGCCCCCAACAGCCCCCCATCTCCAGCCTAAGGCCTATCGCCGCCTCCTCCTCCGCTCTGATCCACCCCCCTCTGCCTCCCTCACTTCCCTCCACCTCCCTCATCTCGTTGTCCCATTTCTCCTCCCCTCGGTCGTCGCCCGCCCACCCGCTCCTGGTCGCCCGCCTTGGGGCGCGCCAGCTCCATCTCCTCGTCCTCGCCTTTGTCGCCGTCCTTCTCCGCCTGCGGCTTCGCCTGCCTCACGACGAGGTTGCAGCGCTGGGGGCCCTGTGCTGGGCCTGGCTCGGGCATCGCTTCGAAGCGCGCTCTATCCACGCGCCTGTCCATGAGGGGCACTGGCACCAAGTGCTTCTCATCATCATCAGCTCCTGTCGCACCAGCGGCCGCGGCGACTGCGCCCGCGCCCGCGGCCGCTGCGCCGCCGCCCGAGGCGCAACACTGCCCGCCACCACTCTCGGCGGGCTGGGATGCGGCGCCCCGAGCCTCGGCAGCCTCGGCCGAACAGCGCTCGGCGGGCACGTCGCCGCCCTCGTGCGCGGCGGTGTCCTCGGCGGGCCTGTCGGTGCCCGCTGGCTTGTCGCCGCCCGCTGGCGTGCCAGGCGCTCCACTCTCGCTGAACAGATCCTCCATCACGTCAGTGGGCAGGTCGTGGGAGACGTCCTTGAATAAGTTGGGAATGTTGCTAGAGCACGCTGCAATCCTCATCATCTCCGCCTGCACGTCTGCCATCGCCATCCTCTTGAAGATCTCCACGGAGTCATCGCGGCCGTCGGTCTGGCAGTCCTCCTGGAGGGCGGGCAAATGACGACAAGGGCGATGGCCCGCGAAGGCCCCCCACCCCTCAGAAGGGGGAGGAGGATGGGGGATGAGAGGGAGGAGGAAAAGGGAGGATGAGGCGGGACGAGGAGGTGGCGGGGATCAGGGGGGGGGGCAATAGGAGGGACCACTGAGGACCAGGAGGACAACGAACACAGACGGCAAGAGGTGACGAGGGGAAGGGGGCCACTCGTCGTCGTCGTCGTCGTCGTCGTCGTTGTCGTCGTCGTCGTCGTCGTCGTCGTCGTCGTCGTCGCGACGTCGTCGTCGTCGACGTCGTCGTCGTCGTCGTCGTCGTCGAGTCGTCGAGCTCCTCCTCTGCTTCCACGGTGTGCGCCCACCAGTTTTGAAGTGCAAACGGACCTTTGGTCGGATCGGTCGCCATCTGGGCGTCTCGCCTGGGGCCCGTCTCGCTCGCCTGCTCGGCCTTCGCGGCGTCGCCGCCCCTGGCGAGTGGCGCGGCTGACAGCAGCGGCGGCGCATGGGGGGGGGGGCGCGAGATTGCAATTGATTTCCGCAGCCCCATTGTGCACGCACGGGGGGGGCGACCATATCAGGGGCATGCGGCATGCGAGGAGGTGGAGGGGGGGCGGAGTGGAGTGGGGGGTAGGCCAGCGACGCGAGGAGGGGCAGTGCAGCGAGGACACGATGCCCGAAGCAAGCGCACTGCAGGAGGGGAGTGCCGCAGACGGCACAACAGACTAGAGCGGCGCCTCTGCTGGCTCTCTGTCATGGGCGGCGGCGGCGGCAGCAGCTTCTGCGTCAGGTGCTTCTGGAACGAGGTTGCCGCGTCCACCATCGCCAGGTACGCCTGGTTGGCCGCGTCGTTCTCCTGGGAGGGGCCCGCTCTTCCCTGTGCTACTACCTCATCCTGCCTGCTTCTCCGCTCGCGTCGCTTCCCTTCGTTGGTCGTCCTCCTCCTTCCCCGACTTTCTCCTTGACTCCTTGCCCACTCCTTCAGCTTGCATCCGCCTCCTTGCCACCCCTACGTCGCCTGCCCTTCCCCCTCTCCGCCTCCCCCTTCACCCCCCAACCCCTCGCCCGTCTCCTCACTTCTCCACCTCCTACCAGCCCCCCCCCCGTCCCTCAGTCAACTGGCCCCCCGATCAAGTGGCGAGGGCTGTCGCCCAGCCGAATTGGCACATC